CTCGTTCTGTATAGATAAAGTTCAGTGTGAAACTATTTGAGTGTGCATGAATAAAAAACTTTTCTAATTAATAATGCAAACGTATCATTTTTTTTCGAAGCGGTCTTCAATAACTTAAACTGTTGATATTCATTAGTCTTCACTTACTAATCAAATAAAACAAAGACAAATGTCAACAGTTAAAATTACGGAAGACCGCTTCGAAAAAAAATGATACGTTTGCATTATTAATTAGAAAATTTTTTTATCCATGCACACTCAAATAGTTTCACACTGAAATTATCTATACAGAACGAGCATTTCTGAGTTCGATTTACAATCGATAGTTTGATGAGTGAATAATACTTTCAAAGAGTAATTAATCATCTTTGAAGATGTGAAATAAAAGGAAAAGTTCACTTTTGAACGAGAAGGCGGTACATTATCAAATGTTCTGTAATAGAGATATAGAGAAAAGAATAAATAAAAGAATAGATAAATGAAGGAATTGAGAAATGGGGAAGGAATATNATAGTGGCGGGATGGGAAAGGAATATAGGAATAGTGGAATAGCGGAACGGTGGAATAAAGGAATGAAGGAACGACGACCGACCGACCGGAATATATTTTGAAGCGCTCCCTTAATAGGATTGAAAATAAATTAGATTCAATAGATTTCATATGTGTGTATGTGTCATTCTTATAAGATACTTGTTGAAATACACCAATAATGTGTTTCTTTTTCTTCGATTTATCTTGAATTAAGAACCATCGAATGTTGGAAAACTTTCGAACAAATTTCAACTATATCAGAAATAAATCATATTTTTACTGATTAATTCTTGAAAGAAGATACTTTAAAATGTTATCTTACACAAAATGAAGTATCTGTAAAATATTCAACATTAAAAGTAAATGAAAAAATATATAATATATTGATGTTCCCCGCACAGAAAACATCCGAAATGTAATTTTCCAAAATGAAAGTTTCATTTTGTAACAACATAAATGAAATTACTATTCGTTCAACAACATGTTCATTATCTCCTATTCAAACTATTCTTATAAATATCGAAGTAGCTTGTTTATTTTCATCTTAAACATGTTGAGTTATCTTTTACAGAGAAATAGAGGATCACGTAGACAAGTGATTGTCGTTCAATTTTGGTAAATTTCACACACTTGGATAGCAAATTTTTTGCTTTCTCTCTCTTTCTCTCGTTTAATTCAGACTCTAAAATATCGATCAATATATCAAAATATATTTATATACTGTAAAATCATTCTTTAAATGCATCGAAAAATCATAAATTTGAGTAAAATCATCGAGTACCTCTTGTCATATGTATTGTGATAATTCATATGGCTATTTTAAGTTAATGCACTGAATAAGAAAAAGAAATCTAATTTTCCTATAGAGAATATTCTCATAAGAAACAAGAAAAAAAATCAATCAAAAAACAGCATTTGATTATATTGAACGACGGCAATGTCTACGTTATAATCACTGTTTTCAATCAAATTTTGATTTATTCTTTCTTTTGATGATAGACATCATTCGGTACGACAACTGACGATCAAGAAAATAATAGCACAGTAATCATTAGAAAATCATCATCATTCAAAAAACTAAAACCACTTGATCGTGTCAAAATATCTGGATGTAAAATGCGTCAATCAGCACTCCAAAAAAATGATTCAAATGATAGTGGACTTACTAGTACAAGTAATTCATCAAGTACCTGCTCACAATATTCAAAACAACAAAAGCAACAACAAAAAACTAAACGACAAAAAAGTAATAAGATATTTAACATTTACTGTAGTAGACTGAATCCTCCTCCTCCTTCTCGTCTTGCTTCTGAATCTGCTATTTGTCGTACATTTCATGAATCAAATAGAATGTCAAGCTCATCATCTAGAAAGACTTCAAATATATTCCCAAAACAATCTCTACTTTCTTCTCTATCGATATCAGTACCACAAATACCATCTGTAATCAAGAACACCCAATCTAGTTTTACTAAACAAGAAACTCTCTTACCAACTATTCGACGATTATCTAATAGTGAAGAAATGGCAACAAACCATTATACATATGCAGCATCAAGTTCATCAGTAACACCACATTCAATGACACTCAAACGAAATGCATCACTTTTACCAATTCTTCTACAATCAAGTCCTTGTCTAGGAACTCAAACACGTGATGTTCGTCAAAAAAAACCTAAATATGATTTAGAAGAGGAACAGGAGGAACATAATAATGATGACGATAGTTATTATTATTTACTTGATTATAAAAATTTAATAAATAATTTACCAAAACCTGTTATATCTATTCGACCCCGTTATGGACAAGATGATTATGGAATTTTATTTGAACAATTAGATCATATTCGACAAGCAATGCCTGATGCGAATATTTATGATGAATATGCGAGAATTCTTTAATTATTTTGTTCTTTTTTTTATCACTTAAAATCTTTTCATGTTCATTCACATGAGAAAAGATCTTTTATTTCTCTTTAGTTTTGATTAACAATAAAAAAAACAAGTTGATTTTGTTATTTTTAGTTTTATTTTTTCTGAAAATCATGTTAGATTTCACATAGAATTTCAATAATTTCTTATTAATTCCGTTTTCATCTGTTTTTTTTTCATTGTAGAGTGAACGTTTTCTTGATTTCATAATCATTTAAAATTTTTGATTTAAAACTGAAGAATACTGAATTTACAATGTACAAAGAGACGAGTGCGGAGTGTGCTCCGCGCTTTTACGCCGTAAGGCAAATAGAAAAAGTTAGTTATGTACAGGTTTCGATGCATGAAAAAGAAAATGTTATAGCTAAAGTATGATTTTATTTAAGGCTTACCTGTATATTGCATTTCTCTCAGAAAATGCTTCTTATTTTTCTATCAATAATTACGGAAGAAATGATAAAGCGGTTTATATGATTTAATGAATGTTATCATAAACAGTAGCTCGTTTAGAAAATAGAACTAGAAAGACTTAATATCAAAATTTTCATTTCAAAAATTATTTATATTTGTAAAAAAAAATAAAAAATTATTTAATTTTGATATTCACGAATGTAGGCATGCAATTATTTCATATTAGCACGTGACTCTTAACAATTATATTTAATTAAAAAACAAACATTTAAAAAGATTTTTTTTATTGTTCATAATATATCTATAAAATAATTGTTTTTTAGTTAATGTTTTTCAATAAAATTCACAAGAAATAATGGAAGTCGATAATTTTGAAATACTATTTTTCTTTGTCGAATAAATCGAGCACATAAACATTTCAATTTTCCAACACCTATTTTCTCTCGAAGATGTTCTTTAACATGTATATTTGATGCTGCTTCAAGAGGTGTTCGACCTTGACTATTAACACAATCTGGATGTGCTCCGCCAATATCACAAAGAAGATTAATAATAAACAATACATTTTCAATATCATGTTTACGCTGAGCAATTAAATGTAATGGAGTATTTCTTTCTGAATCAATCGCATCAACATTAGCACCACACTGAAGCAATAGACCAATTGTTTTATGACATGGATATCTAGATTTAAACAAAAAAAAACAAAAAAAGAAATTTGTCTTATTCAGAAATTGACAAAGAAAAATATAAAACATACTTGCACAATGCCATAATATGATTATCATTTACACATGGTAATCCTATTATCATACTTAAATGAAGTAGAGTCCAATATTGTGAATTGTCAATAGTTGTAAAACGAGTTCGAACAAACATTACTAATATTCGATAAATATCTATCATCGAAGGCGAAACATTTTGTTTTTCAGATACCTATGATTAAAAATAAGAGTCAAAAATAATTTTAACAATAGAAAATTTTAATAATTTTAATATAAAGTAGCATACATGACTAATGATTGTAATAAGATAGAAAAGTGTAAGTAGATTATGATCATTATTACGACCATTTGAAATTTCATCATTCAATGCTTTTAAAACTTCTAGTATAGCTTTTTCAGGTATAATGTCTACATCATTAATCATCATTTCAGCAAACATATGAACAAAACCTCGTAAATGCCATTTATCAAAATTAATTTTATGTTTTCGTCGTAAATCAAGTTCATATAACCAAAATCGAAGTGATACATCATATTGATGTGTATCAGCTAATAAAGCACCATAAAATCTTATAGCATGACGATATCGTTTATTTTTTTGACCTAATATTCTTTCTTGTATAAGTAATGATTCAATATGTAATCGATTATGTGATTCAGATAAAAGTTGATTAAATTCTTCTAATGTTTGACATTCTTGAGAATAATTATATGCTTCAATAAGTTGTATAGATGAAAATATTTTTGGAAGATTTTTTTCTATTCTCCATTTATGTGCTTTTCTTATATGTGTAATAGCTTTCTCAAGATTATAATTTTTTGATTCGATATTTGCATAAGATGCTCCAAGTACTTCTCTTGCTTCAATCCATTCTAAATCTGACGAACAATAATTTACAAAAGCATCAACTAAATCTTCTCTTGCTTCTAATGCAGCCCATATAAGTGGACTTGTTGCATTATAAGACATATTTTTTGCTCCGCGTTTTAATAATAATTGAACAACATCAAGTGAACCACCATCAATACCATAATGTAATGATGTTCGACCATCTTGATCATATTCATTTGGATCACAACCTAATTCATCAAGAAAATATTTTACCATATGGGTATGTTCACGATAAGCACTTAACATTAAATTTGTATAATTACCATCTCGTACAAGTCGTATATTAGCACCATGTATAATTAAATAACGTGCAATATCAAGATGACCAATATAAGAAGCAGCACGAAGTGGTGAACTACGTGTAAGAGATAAATGATTTACGTTTGCATTCCCTTCTTCAATTAATAATTTTACAATACCAAAATGACCAACAGCTACAGCGACCCATAATGGTGATACACCATACATTATATCATGAACAAAATCAAGTTTAACATCACCTACTGCATTTATATCAGGTTTAAAACGACGTAACAACATACGTACTATATTTTCATGTTTAAAAAAACATGCAGCAATTAATAAAGTCCATCGTGATCGTCCATATTCATATTGTTGATTTATATTCATAATAGAATATTGATTTAGATATGTTTCAAGTGAAAAAACACGACCTTGACGAGTAGCTCGATGTATAAGTTCATCTTTTTCCGCTCGTGAATAATCGAATAACATACCACCATGGAAATTGTCGTCACAAGCATGCATGTCTATAATCTTACCTTCGTTGAAAATTTCACTCGGTTGTTGTGCAAATACATCCACATGATTCGGAACAGAACAGAACACAACAAAAACAGAACAACAAACAATAATACATGCCGAAGGTAGATGTAGACAAACTAAAATAAGAGTTTTAACAAATATGTAACTTATGGGATTCGATCAAAAACAAATAAATATTCTGATTAAATATCTTATTCATTTTTGAATAGAAAACCACTCTTTAAAACAGATATAAATTTGAATAAGACTAACTTATTTGATTGATTTAATATAGAAATTATAATTGTTTTTAATATTTTCATTCATATCATGTTTCCATTTACGATTTAATATTAATCAAATACGTCTGAGAGTAGTTTTGGATAATTGTTCAATACATATGTTCATATCAGTACTATCACCATTATAATCATGTGAAGAAGATTTCATGAAATTCAACTTGCAGAATTTGTTAACTAATCAAATGTATTTTTGAAACGAATTATTTCATCAACAAAATCACGACTAGTCTGAGACAGCCAACATTGGGAACGGGCGGTGATGGTGTCACGATTTTTTCGGAAGGATAGAAACATTTTTTTCTAAGAGAACGCAAGAAAAATTTTCGATTTCACTTGGAAGAAAAAAAAAAAAAATTCATAATTAGACGTGTTTCATGTCCGAGATTCGTTCCAGTAGAGTCAGTCGTGAACAAAATAATTCTGCAAATCAACAATCTCTTATTTCTCTTCAAGCTTTCCGAATATATTCCGAAAATTAAACATAAAATCTGACTCTTCTTAACTTTGTATTTCGTAGGTGCAAATCAAACAAGAACTGATTTGCTTGATTTGTCTTCTTCTACTTTCATCTCTGATGTATAAAAATATTCATTGATCAGTGAAATGATCTAGAATTATCATTCGAAAATAAGATGAGTAACACAGATACTATTTTAACAATAACTACTAGTAACAACATACGATAATTAAAGTTGCTTTATCTACAAAGATAGCCACTAAGCAAACAGTTAATAGACATATGCAAATAAAAGATGTTGGACAAAGAAGAAAAATAAAAATAGTAACACAAAAAAAAAGAGTAAAAATGGTAAGATAATGAAAAAATGTAAAGTTTAGAGAATAAGATTGTCTATGATATAAAATAATGACGTATAAAAAGAAATACTAATGGATTAATTTAATGTAAAAATTGTTCTTATTATTGACGGTTCTGAAGATATATTTATTTCGCCACTGCTATGTAACTTCTTACCACAAGAAAAATACATGCTTCATTGGTGAGAGATTTCAGGAAGTGTTCGATGCAGCTGTAAAATCACTTCATAATAAAAGCAAAACTGCGATACAAGGCGCTGCATCCAACATGACTGGTCTTAGCAAATTGTACAATATGATAAAAACAAAAGAAAAACAAGGGTCATTTACATATTTGCTTTGCCAATGAAGGAATATTTGATGCAGTGTTGAAAAGATATATTATCCAAGAATATCATCATAACTTATTCGATATTAGTTATCAATATTAGTTCATGAGGTATCTATGATTGTGAATGGATCAAACTATTTTCTTGAATGATTTGCGATACATTGTATCCACGGTTATTCAAAAACATAGCACTTCATTTATTGTAGGGGGTTTGATTTGAAGATGCCTAAGATTTGTGTTAATATTTTATATTCAAAAGCAACAGATAAACATGCCCTCAGAAAATTTGTAAAGACTACAAAAGAAACAAAACGATTTCATCGTTTTCTAACAGTTAATAGAATAATAAATCAACTTGGTACAGCTAGTAAACTAATATAAGCTGTAGTTTTTCTTGCATCTGACGAAAGCAGTTATATAACTGACATACAACTTTATGTTGATGGTAGTTTTGTGTCAATCTGAAACATTTGCACATGCATATAATGTTTATTTAATTTTAAAAATATTGAAATAGCATAAGAAAGAAAAACATTTCCTATAATATTTTTTCTTCTAGACATCAAGATATTGATTAAACGATATCTTACTGAACAGGTGCTTTTCAGAAAAAGAAAATGTTTGTCAGTTTTTTTTTTAGAATAAATAATCATACCATCTACTTTGAGCATTAATTGATAGAAGTACAGTTTGAAAATAATACACCTATTTAGCATTATTTTATAAAGCACCAGAAATATATGACAAGAACCAGATGTCTTTTTTACTATTATGAGTGTCTTGTTGACCCATGATCACAGAATTATATAAAAATGTGCAATGCATGTATGTTTGGTGTTTACTCAGGCTATTTCTATCAATAAAAATCCAGCAAATATAACATTTCTAACAAAAAGAAATCATTCTAAGGATGAAATAATCTTAGCGATAGCGCATCACATGTTCTCTCGAGCCAATAGAATTTTAAAAGGTTTTCTTTTATTTTTCTGAAAGAATTTGTTTTCTTTTTATCGATATTCTGTTTGTTCCCTGAGAGAGAAAAAAACATTGCATTGAGGCCAGTTTTGTTGCGTTTTGTATCTGCATGCTATTTCTCTGCCGACAGCAACATGTAGTAACTGAAAATAGACATTGTTGAATTCTACGATATTTATTAATTGGTAGAAAAGTTATTTGTGAGCGATTCATGTTTCATCTATATAAACATGGTTAAATGAAAATAACCAGTCGGTGTCAAAGGCAAGAAAAGATCTTGTCAATTTATGATAATTACAAAATTAAAGAAAGGTGCATTCATAGTTTTATCAAAACTTATCACTATTCTTAATAAATTTCTTCTTGAAGACATACCTGGAACGTCATCAAAATTTATCATAACAGACAAGATTATGGAAAAAAACATTAGTTTTATCTCTCATCAGTATAGTCAATTTTTCAATTGCTAGAAAATAATGAAAATATCTTTTAGTTGAGTTTTTTTCTTCGGAAAAGTTGCCACCGATTTTGTAAATCTCTAGATATCTGAAAATCATGGTAGGATTAAAAATTTCAAAAGACTAACCAAGTGTGATTTCAATAGGAAAGTATGTTTGAATTTTTTTTTTGCATTAATTTTATTGAAAACTGTTTTTTTTTTGTGTTTGAAGCGACAGGCAAAGCAAGACTACAAACTTTTCTACATTTATCACGAACGATTTATCATATTAATTTCATTTCTCTTAGATGAATAACCGATGATATCAAGAAGTATAATAGTTCTACGAGAGACGTTCGTTTAATATTAAAAACAATTTAATCTCTACTTCATATATTATCAGTAGAAAATGATTATGAAAACAAAAACATTATGTTAGCGAACTATATGATGAAGTATAAAATTCAACCATTTAAACACATAATCTTTATCTAAAGATAGAAAATTCAGCGAAGAAATAGCGTTTTTAAAATTGCTAGCAGAAAGTATACATCCTTTGTTAGAAGTATTTTCTAACAAGAACCCTTCTACAGATTCAAAAAGACCATCTCGATCAGTAATTGTCTTCAATTTGACTTGCCATTCTTCATCAGAGACATTGTTTAATTGAATACCACACCGACGAATATCATCAATAATACATTTAAATGGCACTTCACTATCTAGATTAAGAACATGATAGACGTTTCCATATACCTCAGGTTGAATGCTACTCAAATAAACAATACTTTTAGCAGTAAAATCGACTGGTAAACCATTAAAATGAGTATTAATTTCCGTCTCACGATAACAACTTATCTTTATTATTGCAGCAACAAGTAAAGTATGAATATCATTTCGGTTACATGCACCTGTCTCAGTAGCGGCACATATTGATCCAAGACGATAAATAACTACTGGGAGACCTAATTGACTTGCCTTAGTAATTAGTTTTTCTGCTACCCATTTACTTTGTGCATAACCACTGACCAAACCGTCTGGAGGGATCTCATCAATTGATAATTCTTGATTAAATCCAGATGATAGAACGCTTATCGTTGAAATATATTGAACAGGTATACAAGTTGAAGTATGTGTTGCCAGGCGAATAATTTCTCGAGTACCACATACATTTGGACCATAGAGCTTGCTGTAAGGAAATACAAAATTAACTGTAGCACCACAATGAAAGATCATATCAATTTGATTAGCCAATGATTCATATGTTTCATTGCTTAACCCAAAATAAGGTTTTGCTAAATCACCTCGTAATGGAATAATGCGTTCGTGATAGTCTTCTTTCCATATCTGATAGAAGATCATATTTTCTCGAATACGATCCAAAGGATTTACTAGAGACTCGCATCGTACAAGGCAAACAAATTTACAACTTGAAGGATAAATCTTTAATAATTCAGCTAGTAGAAATGCACCTACAAATCCTGTTGTTCCAGTAATGAAAATCACTGAAGGAGACTGACTTGTATTCTTACGTCTTCCTACGGTGATGTTTAAATCCAATTGAGAATCCTTCAACATTTGTGGTACAATAGAATTAGTCATCGAAGAAATTTGAGAAGGATCTTTGATAAGATTTGTTAATCGTTGAAGAGTCATTGTGGGTTCAAAGAGTACACTCATTGGTACAGATACTCCAAGATTATTTTCGATCATACGAGATAATCGTATGGCTGTCAATGAATTACTACCATTTGCAATTAAGAAATGCTCATCTTCATCGTTTAGTATCGATTGTTCTGCTGCCATTTCAATAATGGTTTTTAGTCGTTGATCAATAGTATTAATTGATTTTAGTCTATCTGCATAATGTGCAGCTAGTTTATGACGACAAGGTTTAAACGAAGAAGTAAGAAGACCATTTTCTGGTGTGAATGGTTCGAAATCAATAATTAGTCGTGATGGAATTTCATGTATTCGAAGTGATTCGCTTTTGGCTATTGAACGAAGATCTTGTAGAATTGCATCACACAATTTTGGATCTGGATTATTGGTATCGAAGTTTGTCAAGTTATGCTCAAGTACAAATGCTTGTACGTATGCTCGGTTAGGTACCACTACTGCAGCAACACAATCTGATAAAAGATCACCATGAATATAGATTTGTTCGACGAAAGGACTTCGAATGTAAATATTTTGAAGAAATTCAGGTGATATAAATTGTCCTTGTGAAAGTTTAAAGAAACTTTTTTTACGATCGATAACATGTAAATCAGTTTGACCATTTGAATCTGTACGCAATTCAACAATATCACCCGTACGAAAGAATCCATCATCGGTAAGAACTGCTCGAGTTTCTTCTGGATTGTTGATATATCCAGAAAACATTTGTGTAGTTTTTGTCAAAATTTCTCCTCGTGGAAAAGGTTTATCATCAATTGTATAACTCATTTCTGGAACAGATTCGAGACGATATTTAATTGTACCTTCTACAATATAGTTATAAGCTACACTTCCACACTCCGTGATTCCGTATGATTCATTAATTTGACAACCTGAAAAACATCGCTTCATAAAGTTCAACACGTTTGGGCTAACTTTAGCACTGCCAACTGTAAGTGATTTACATCTGTTTGGAATCAGTTTTGAAAATTCTTTCAATAGACGTAGTTCTTCTACTGCTCTAGTTTCTTTTGAATGATGAGCATTGATCAATGAAAGAGCTGTCTTGAATTCAGCATAGATTTTGTTCCAAATACTTGGTGGAGCAGAAAATTGTGTTGGACCAACAAGAGCTAATTCTTCCATTAGACGACTAATATCTCCTGTTGAGAATCCAGTACGTCCTCCAGTAAGAAAAGTTCCAATAACCATATCTCGATCAGCTGCCCATGCTAATGATCGATAAGAGAATGATATTCGTTCAACTAAATATGTTGTAAACCAATTTGGAAATGTTTCTCGATAAGCTTGTTCAGAAATTATAGCACCTTTCGGAAAGCCTGAACTTCCGCTTGTGTATATAATCGTAAGACAATCGTTAGGTTTTATACCAACATGGTCGTATTTTTTTATGAAACCATATTCTTCAATGTCACCCATGAAATGAAGAGATAGACTATGTTCGTGTATGTCAGCTAGAATTGATATCAATAGTATTACATAAATGAAATAAATAAAACTGCATGAAATATTTGATTAACAATAAAAAATTTCGCAAATGAAATTTTTTAGATGAGTGCTTTTGAAAAATATTGTCTCTCAAGTTTAACTCAAATTTTTGAACACTGAAAAGTATAGTTAAAGCCTCTTTAGACTACAATTGAATTATGCTAAAAAGTCAACAAAAGACGAAGATTTCGGAATAAAAAACAATAATACTCTTAGTGTATTAGGATTTAACATTTACCTAGCATTTTCTCAGAAATAGAATCCATACATACGATATGACGCAATGATGGACATTCTGCACCTAATCGAGTAAATCGAGGTAGCATTTGTTTATCACAAACTACTACAGATATTTGAGTATTATTAATAACATAAGCAACTTCACAATCTTTAAACAAACAATAGATTGGAACAGTGATAATATTCTGAAGCATGCATGCAAGATCAGTGATTATCCATTCAGGTCGATTTGCCGCGCAAATGCCAAGATAACCACGTGGTTCAATTAAACGTCGTAGTCCATGGCCAAAATTTTTTGTTCGATCACCCACAGTTTTATATGTTATCCAAGAGTATGAATCCGTATATACTGAAGGATTTGTTTCATTAAAATTTCGAACACCCATGCAATAACGATTACTATAAATCTTAAATGCTCTTTGAATGGCAGTTATCATATTTCTTGGTCCCCATTCGCTATTCTCTGCTGGTCCATAGGCCAATTCACGTGTCATTTGATGAGGGTGTGGTGGATGAATCGTCTTTACACATGTTTCACAGTAATCATAATCATTACAGACAGTACAATTGAAGCGAAATTCGCCATCAAAAATTATTCTTTGGCAGCCATAGCAATTCCAATAACTTGGTCGTTCATTCATATCAGTACTCATTTTAGTCTGAAAAAGAAATAGACGAAGTCTTAAAGATAAAATTAATTTTGTAAAATCTGTATTTTAAAGTTTGAGTATATTTTCGTCAAACATTATACCATTTGCTACCTCTGTTTAACTGAGTTATTGATCTTTTTCTGTCTACCAGTTTGTCTTCAAGTTTAACTGTAATATTTTATCATTGTCTCATAATATGTAACATGACATTATGTATTTGTAAAAAGGGTAGATACAAATAATAGAGTTATCTCTATGAGATTATACTTTATATTCCAACAAAATAAATATTATTTATTAACAAAATCTGATTCATACTTTGCTATCATCACGTTCTTTTTCATTCTTTTTTTTTGATATTGACAAAAGAAAGTTTTACTTTTATTTGACATGGAGATTTTTTTATCAGTTATAATAAACATTTCATATATCTATAGTTATGAAAAGCATTGATTGATTGATTGACTACTACTGTGAATTTTTCTATGTTTCTTACTTGAATGCATGATTTTTTTGTCGAACTGTTAAAAAATATTCCAGCAACTTTCATTCGATAAGTATGAGATTCAAATGCATGCCATTATTATCTATCTGAAATGTTGCATAAATATACTATAATGGCATGAAATAACTGACTCACATCCTCTGTTTCGTGAGTGTAGCATTACAATATCCTTTTTGTATGACTAAATTTAATGAAAATTTCAAGGTTGTTGTAAAATTCTTGATGACGTGTCCAAAATAACGAATACTTTTTCCTTTTCTCTTTGCATTTTTTCTTCCATGAGTCAGGCTCGCGTCAGATATTAGTCATTATTTCATTTAATCATGACAATCATTTAATTAAGCCTTGTATATAAGCTTCAAATGTATTGAATTAGGAAAAATATGAATCCAATACTACTAATGTTTCTAAGACAAAAAAAATTCTTATAATTCAAATAAACGACAGGAATAACACATTAGAAATAACATTAAACGATCTCTATTAAATAAATTATGAATCTATTCAATATGAAAAGTTCAATTAATTATTTTAATTAAAACTGCGAAATTACTAAATGTATATGTATAGAGCAAAGTAAGTTATGGAATTTTATGATACATTGATGCACAGAAGACAATTGAATAATTAAACAAATAATATCGAGTTCTTCAGTATTGTCTACTAGTTTGAAAGTGATGATACCGAAATCACAATGTTTAGTTGAAAAATCATAAAAATCCAGACAAATGGATGTCCGATATGTTCATCATTATCATCTTGTGATAAGAATATACAATACTTTTGATAACTTGGTTTCGTTGGTAGATTTTTTTAAATAACCATTTAGTATTCACCTTTTATCTTATCTTTCTCATTTTTGTATCTGACTGCTTAATATTTTCTACCAAGTAAACTTTAAGAAATAGCTTTTTTTCTCTTATCGAAATGTTATATATCCATAATAGTATTTTTATTGATCATCATAATTTTCATTTATATTTATGATATTCACCTTTTCTTATCTTAAGATAGAACAATAAAGCCAATACAATGAAAGCAATTTTCATTGACAAATAATTAGAATATATTCTATCAATCTCTATGTATAATATAACAGATCAATTCAATAAAATGACACAATTCATTTCTTATCACAAATATGTTCTGAAGATAAAACTGTCGAACTTATACACGATTTTATGACTTCACTTACGATCAGGGTTGCCACCTCTTCCGCTTTTTTAGCCCTTTTCTCCGTCCTGCTTCCGTTGTTCCGCATTTTCCAGCTTTTTCAAATAATAAATTAGGGTTTATTTTTTTTATTGAAAAATTTGATACAATAAAATGTATTGATAATGAGTCAATTGTAGCAGCTGTCGTCTACAGTCTATCATTGCCTATATGATATATTCTGTGCTCTATTATTCCAGCAAGCAACATCAATGTCGAAAGTATTTTACCGGAAATGAGACATTTATCCAAGGATTTTTGTAATCGAATGTCAGTAGCTTCAATGGCTGCAGAAATACAAATGCGTTGAAATACTCCATTATCGCTCGAACATGCAAAGATATCTGTTATTCTAAAAAGAATTGCTAACAGAAAATCATCCAAACAGTAAATGTAACTGCATTTGAAAAATGATGTGTTTAATAAAATATTCATTTTCTTCATGTATTATTTATTATGTTTTCGAATTTTGAGAATAAGGAAGTGCCATGGAAAGAAGTAACAAGTTATGTAAGCCATAGAAACATGAAGAACCCATAAAAATCAGCATTTCATATTGTTTCCATTTTTTGCTGATTTTGTTTAGGCTTTTTCTCGCTTTTCTGACTTGAGGAAATGACAATCCTGCTTACGAGAGAATGTTTCTAAACGACAAATTGCTTTTGATTCGGAACTATGTGTTTCATGTGGGCTCTAATTAGGTATGAATACCTTTAAAAGAGTTCGAACTAATAGCTTATTATTGATAAGATATTGTTTTTCTTACGACAATGTTGTGATCCTTCTCGGAAACATCAGAGAAACTGAGCTTCGAATTTCTACCTGAAGCTGTGGTAGAGACCAAGGCAGACGGTAAATTAGAATAGCTTATTGTGACAGTGTCAGATGTTTCACTTGCGCCTATTCTAAAATAAGAACATTGGAATCGACCGTTATGGTTATATGAGCAATGTGAAAAATATGCTTCTATCATAGTTGTACTTTAGGATAGAAGTAATCAAAAGATCTGAAATTTTTACAATAAACTATTCTCAACACGGTCTATCTCTATGCAAAGTTGCAAGTCAAAAGTCAAAACTCGGTGTTTATCATGTTCCTGAGGATAACCACGACACTAATAAACTGTTAGCTCGAACTCTTTGTAGAGTATTTATGACTCATTAAAATCTACATACTGCACATAGTCTCGACTCAAAAGTGATTTGACATTTGGAAGGGTTCTCTCATTAGAAAGAAAAAAATTGAATTCTCTATTGAACCATCTGAGTACTCGAAATCATATATATGTCTTGTTCATTTTTCTGAAAGCCTCACGATCATTTCAATGATATCATGTTCTTATAAATTCTTAAACTATGGTGAAATCATAATGATAGAATTTTTCTGTATCTTAAAATAATGAATATTTTTTACTATTATTTTGATTGTTTATTTAAAAAAACACGAGAAAAATGAGATTGAATAGTACAAGAAAGGAATTTGAATGAAATCAAATGATGATGCTTGTTACTTGATACATATATATACTAATTAAAATAAAAATATATAAATAGTATGATTTCTGTTAGTTCTAAAAATAAAATCTTTATCAAGAATTTATTTAATCTGTGATACATCAAAATTGATTACAATATAGAGATGTTATTTTTTCTGATTGTAAATTTTATTTTTCTTGAACTCAATCTATTTTGTATGATATTATTTAAAGAAAAGTTCATTTATTGATCCATAGGTCCACCAAGAGAATCAACGAAATCTTTCATATAAAGATGTGATGGAGCTTTTTCACTAATATCTCTTTTGTATGTCGATTGTGAAATATTTTTTTTCCACATAGGTAATGTAAGTGGAACAACTGCATCAGCTGGTATTCGACAACTATATTTAAAACGTCCAGGAGCAGGAGCTGCTGGTGCTCGAAGAGGTTGTTCATAAGAACTTCGATATTCACTATCAAGAGTATGATGAGCTCGATTACGCCAAAATGAACGTGAGCGATTGTAAGCCAATGGTAAAGGAAATCCTTGAGGAGCTCCTGAAAATACAATTTCATATATAATTAAGAAAATCACATTTTCTTTTTTGTTTTTCTCTTACCGATATAATCTAGTTGATATGTTGAAGTTAATTGATTTTTTAATGCTTGTTTTGTTTCAGCCGATATAACTGGAGCAGCAACTGTTACAGGTCGACGAATCCAGTGAGTGAATTGCGGACGAGGATGAGGTCGATGAGCTCTAGGCGTATTTGGACGAGCAATAGATTCTCGTTGTGCATCCTTTTGATGAGGATAATCGGCTGTATACGATGATAAACCAACTGGCTCATTTAACTGATAAGGACATCCAATCAAAAACCGTTGACCACTCGAAACACCTTCATCAATAGTTAATGATCTTTTCAAAGTAGAAAATTCTCGTTGATATGTTGTTTCATATGATCGACTTCGACCAGAACGATAAGGGGTGCCGGGTGAAGATTGGATACAAGTTGTCATTTTCTCTTGCACACCTAAATTGACGAGGACAACAGCCGCCAGCAAGAACACATTATGGAATTAAAGAGTGATGCTTTTCAAATAATCATAGAAGAAGAGAATAACAGAACGCAAAAACTTCTCCCTGACGACCTATTCAATCGGACAACAATTGTCGATCGAAGAGAAAAAAAAAGAACGTCGAATGTTTGACAAACAAGAAATCAATGGCAAAATGAAGTAAAAATGTGAATAGAAAAGAAAATACTTGTTCCTTAACAGCCTACAACAATATGTTCTACAAACTAAACCAAAATTTGATCACCTAGTTAAATACGATAATTATTTCAGAGAAAAAGAAAGACGTTAACAAAGGTATTTATAGTTTTTTCTATATTTGGTATTTAATAATTAGTTCATTTTTTTATATTTTATTGGGATAAGGAGAATATAAAAAACAAAACATTTCATTTGAAATTATTAACAAGTATTGTCAATAAGAATTGAAAGACAGACGATGCCAGTTAATAGAAAAAGAAAATGAGAAAAATAATGAGAAATATGAAGATAAACAAGTCAAACATCGAAACAAAGGTATCAAAATCAAAACATTGGCATTAGATCTCAAAAAAAAAAAAACAACAAACTAAATAAAATAATCCAAAAAAAGGATTGGTGCATTAATGTACATCAAGAGTGTTAGCAAATATTACAGTATGTCAACAAAAATCGTCAATGAGACTGAGTACTCTTGAAAACTTCTGCCCTTTCCGAACTTAACTTGTTGATATAAAAACTTGTCGTTAAAAA